AGTAGTAGTAGTAGTAGTAGTAGTAGTAGTAGTAGTAGTAGTAGTAGTAGTAGTAGTAGTAGTAGTAGTAGTAGTAGTAGTAGTAGTAGTAGTAGTAGTAGTAGTAGTAGTAGTAGTAGTAGTAGTAGTAGTAGTAGTAGTAGTAGTAGTAGTAGTAGTAGTAGTAGTAGTAGTAGTAGTAGTAGTAGTAGTAGTAGTAGTAGTAGTAGTAGTAGTAGTAGTAGTAGTAGTAGTAGTAGTAGTAGTAGTAGTAGTAGTAGTTTGGGAGCATGAGAGGTGAGACTGGTTAATAATTTTGCATAACTTCCTCCACAAACAACAACATCTGTGTCTATCTTCTTCTTGTGGATACAAACTGTTAACTGTCGTTTAGATCAGTACAAACATATTCTGAAGTGTGATTCTTGTTTTATCTTGTCAGTTCACATTTCAGTCTTTTTGTCAATTCTCCTGGACGTGTTTCAAATGTGAACTGAATCCTTATTATTAAAACATAAATCTCAAATCTAAGCGCTCTGCTTGTCAGATATATCTCAGTTACATAAAAGTTATTTTCCCCAAATGGTTCAGGCCAGAACCTGATTTTGAACATCTGAGTGGAAACAGTCGGGAGTTTAAACTCTCAGCTCAACATTCTGACTCCCGTTAAAACTTCAACATGAGTGTTCACCTGCACACGTCAGATCAGATTAACTCAGGACTGGTTACTGTCTGAGTTAAAGAGAGAGAGAGTTTAGCTGCAGACACACAGAGCGTCTCAGAGGTCTTTGTGTGTCAGTCAAAGGTCTGAGTGCAGCTGAACAGGACGACTGGTCAGGGTCAGCAGATCCTGTGTGTCCTGCAGCATCACAGCAGCCTCCAGGGGGAGCCACGTGAACACCTCAGGGAAGGCTCCTCTAAGCTTCATTCTTCCTCTGCTCTGTTGTAGTGGTTGGTGTTGATGTGGCTCATTCCTCCAAAGTGTTTCCTCTAGAAGGTCTTAGAGTATTTGTTCTGGAAGGTTTTCCTCCACGTTTGTGCCACATTTTGTATAAAATCCTATGATATGATGTGCAAAAACCAAAAAGTTTCAAAAACTGCTCAGTGTAAATCCATCCATCCATTTTCTTCCTCTTTATCCGGGGCCGGCTCGAGGGGGCAGCAGTCTAAGCAGGGACTCCCAGACTTCCCTTTCCATAGACGCTTCGTCCAGCTCCTCCGGGGGAACCCCGAGGTGTTCCCAGGCCAGCCGAGAGACATAGTCCCTCCAACGTGTCCTGGGTCTTCCCCGGGGGCTTCTCCCAGTGGGACATGCCCAGAACACCTCCTGAGGGAGACGTCCAGGAGGCATCCGGAACAGATGCCCGAGCCTCAACTGGCTCCTCTTGATGTGGAGGAGCAGCGGCTCTACTCCGAGCTCCTCCCATATGACTGAGCTCCTCACCCTATCTCTAAGGGAGCGCCCAGCCACCCTGCGGAGGAAACTCATTTTAGCCGCTTGTATCCGCGATCTCGTCCTTTCGGTCACTACCCAGAGCTCATGACCAGAGGTGAGAGTAGGAACGAAGACTGACCGGTAAATCGAGAGCTTTGCCTTTTGGCTCAGCTCCTCTTCACCACAACGGTCCGATACAGCGACCGCATCACTGCAGACGCTGCACCGATCCGCCTGTCAATCTCACGCTCCGTCCTCTCCTCACTCGTGAACAAGACCCAGATATTCTTGAACTCCTCCACTTGAGGCAGAGACTCCCCACCCACCCAGAGAGAGCAAGACACCTTTTTCCGGTCGAGAACCATGGCCTCGGATTTTGAGGAGCTGATCTTCATCCCAGCCGCTTCACACATGGGTCAAACCGCCCCAGTGCATGTTGCAGGTCCTGGTCTGATGAAGCCAACAGGACAACATCGTCCGCAAACAGCAGAGATGAAATCCTGTGGTCCCCAACCCGGACCCCCTCCGGCCCCTGACTGCGCCTAGAAATTCTGTCCATAAACACAATGAACAGAACCGGTGACAAAGGGCAGCCCTGGCGGAGTCCAACATGCACCGGGAACAGGTCTGACTTACTGCCGGCAATGAACACAGCTCCTGCTCCGGTCATACAGGGACCGGACAGCCCTTAGCAACGGGCCCCGGACCCCATACTCCCAGAGCACCCCCCACAGGACACCACGAGGGACACGGACAAATGCCTTCTCCAGATCCACAAAGCACATGTGGACTGGTTGGGCAAACTCCCATGAACCCTCGAGCACCTGATGGAGACTGCTCAGTGTGTCAGCCATGTAGTCACAAGAGCAGCCAACCACCCTGTTTCCATTGGACCAAAAAAAAAAAAAAAAAGTATCTACAGAACAACTTACAAAAAAATATTACAAGGAGGTTTGGGTGAAAAGTGTCTAGTAAATTGTCTATTACGCAGTTTATACACCAAAATGCATATCAACTGAACTGAGATCTTGGAATCCAATTCACCAAAATGTCCAATATTGCCCCTGATATCTGATACCAGTATTGTATCAGTACATCCCTAACCTGAGTATCAATACTACTGACACCCCAGACTCACACTCGTATAAAGCTACGTTTATATGATGATGGTCTGAACAGAAGACACCAAAGTGG